TCATCAGCATCATCAGCATCACCATCTTCTCATCATCATCAGCATCATCATGATCACCACCACCACCACCACCACCATCATCATCATCATCATCATCATCATCTTATCATCATCCTCATCATCGTCATCATCATCATCAGCATCATCACCACCACCACCATCATCGTCATCATCATCTTCTCATCATCATCATCGTCGTCATCATCATCTTCTCATCATCATCAGCATCATCATCATCAGCAGCACCACCACCACCATCATCATCATCAGCATCATCATCATCATCATCTTCTCATCACCATCATCATCATCATCATCATCATCTTCATCATCATCATCATCATCAGCATCAGCATCATCATCATCATCATCGTCATCGTCATCGTCATCATCATCATTATCATCCTCATCATCATCATCATCATCATCATCATCATCATCATCATCATCATCATCATCCCCCTCCTCCTCCTCCTCCTCCTCCTCCTCCTCCTCCTCCTCCTCCTCCTCCCCCTCCGCGGCGGCGGCGCCAGGGCCTGCGGCACGGGCGGCAGGTCCCCCGCCCAATGCGCCAGCAGGTCCGGGGAGATGGCGCCCCAGTCGGTGTCGTCGGCCCGCCGCGCCGCCGCGGCCACCGCAGGACGGCGCAGGACGGCCTCGGGAGGAGGGCGCGCCTCGGAAGGCCTTCGAGGGAGGGCGCTCCGCGCCTCGGAGGGGCCCACCCTCGGAGGGCCTGCGGAGGCCTCGTGGGCCTCCTGAGCCTCGTTAGCCTCGCGAGCCTCCTGAGCTTCCTCCTCCCCCTCCTCCTCCTCCTCCTCCTCCTCCTCCTCCTCCTCCTCCTCCTCCTCCTCCTCCTCCTCCTCCTCCTCCCCCTCCCCCTCCTCCCCCTCCTCTCAAGCATTCTGGCCCAGGCGCACCATTTTGGCAGACCCCTGGCCAGGCCTCGCGCCTTCACGAGGTGCTTGGGGTCCAACACGACTCCCTCGCCCGGTGCGTAGGCGTTGGTGTTGACGAAAGCGAGGCATCAGTTTCCTGTCATGTCAGGTTAGGGTCCTGGAGTATAGTCGTCGTGCAAGGGCTGCAACACGCAGGAATGGAACCATGTCCTGGAGAAGACGGGAGGGAAGTGTCGCACCTGTGTGTGGCCGTCCAGTCGCCTCGTACAAACCCAGTTCCAAGAAAGGCAGTCAGTCAGATAAGAAGGAGTCGGACACGCTTGTGGGTGGCCGAGGGAAGCAGAGGCTCACGAGCAGCATCGCCGAGCAGGACGCTGCCAAGCTTCTCGACCAGACCATCGTCGCCACCACGGATGCGTCCACCAAGCAGGTGCTCGTCACCCAGAGAACGCTGCTGGCAGCGCAGCAGTGCGCCACCTCCTCCGCCCCAGCTCCCGTGGCGCCGTCCGAGGCAGCCAGGAGGGCGGAGGGTGCCTGGCGAGATGCGGACGCCAAACACCTTTAGGCTGTGCAGCAGGTACTTCGCTGCCAAGAGAACCTCGCCAGAGCAGAAGCCCGTGAGAAGGAGACGGCTCAGGCGCTGGCGCAGGCGACCGTGGCGAGGCAGATCGCAACGAAGGCGCCAGCGCAGGCTTCGGGAGTTGTCCTGGACAGCGTAGCGCCGCCCCCCAAGAAGAAGCTCTTCGAAGTGCAGTGGGACACGGCCTTCTTCGAGTCGCTCGACTCCATGGAGATGGAGGAGGCGGAGAGGAAGGAACTCAAGGCCCTCAAGGAGCATCTCAAGCAAGCGAAGGAGTCCATGGCCCGCGCGCTCGGACGAGGTGCAGCGGCGGCCCGAGCGCACGGAGGCCACGCAGAAGACCGTCGAGGAGCGGACGCCCAAGAGGAGGAAGACGCAGCAAGTCGACGGCGGCCAAGAGGGCACTCGAGGTGGCAAGCCGCGGCCCGGTGCCGCCGCCTGGCCATCGCTCGGACGTCCATCCCCTGTGTATGTTTGTCGGTTTCGTGCGTGGCGTTTGTCGCCAAATGATCGAGGGTGCTCCTCGATGGTCCTCGCCGGAGGAAAAAACGCACACGTCCGAGCGATGCCAAGCAGCGGGCGGCGGCTCGAGCAGGTGCCGCCGCGCAGCCTGCTGCTGGCCGCGAGGCTCTCCCGAGCCGGCGGCAGCCAGCGGGCGGGCCGCGGCCTGCCGCGCCGCACGGGCCCCGGGGGCCGACGCCTCGCCCTTGCCGCTCCTCCGAGGGCGCGGAGTGCGGAGGAGGAGGAGGAGGAGGAGGAGGAGGAGGAGGAGGAGGAGGAGGAGGAGGAGGAGGAGGAGGAGGAGGAGGAGGAGGAGGAGGAGGAGGAGGAGGAGGAGGAGGAGGAGGAGGAGGAGGAGGAGGAGGAGGAGGAGGAGGAGGAGGAGGAGGAGCCATGCAAATTCACCTGCCGCGCCGTCCTCTCCTTCGGCTCCTGGCAGCGGCGGGGGCGACGACTGCGGCGCGCGGCCCCTCGCCCGCGGCACCGCGCTCGGCAGGCGGGCTCGGTCGCGCGTCGACGCGAG